TAAAAAAATATCATTTAGTGACCCAATTAGATCTGAATACATTGAATGCAAAAAATTCGTGAACTCACTTTTCGACCATAAGTCTGCACAGCTGCCATCTTTCAAAAAAAAAAAAGTTACATTAATATTCTCAATGAAACGTAAAATTCACAAATAATTGCCATTAATATAAACCTTCAATTCTTGCAACTTTGAGGGAGGAGGAAGATTGATCCACCGGGTACTTTTGCATATTTATGAAAAAAAATTTTTCATTGATCGAAATTGATTGGTCCATCAAAATCAAAGTATTACCCGTGACATTCTATATGATCTAGGAACTTTAATTTCTTGCATTAAAGAAATATATTACAAAATTAACAAATGAATAAAGTGTTAACACCACCCGAACAGTTTGGGAATGTCGAAAAAGGCCTTTATCGTTCAGATATGTTATGTCCTCCACACTTTCCCTTTATAAAATCCCTTAACTTGAAGACGATCTTACTTTTATCTCCCGAAGCTCCGACTCGTTCTGTAGGCAATTTTTTGGAGGAGAACAATATTAAATTGGTACCCTTGTATGAAAGTTACTAATAAGGGTGGAGACATTTATCACCTGATTTTTTTTTTTTTTATCAGAGGCTTATCCCCCTAGCTTTTAATATATGGGGGTGAGTCAGTAGAAAAGGGTCAAATTTTTTCTAAGTAAAAGTTTTTCTAACTTTAAGCTTAAAAAACTAAGCAAATATTTTATTAAATTTAATAAATTTTTTTTTATTTTAATTCTATATAATTTCAAGATTAAATTAAAAAAATTTTTAACAAATTTGATTAAATAGTTGTTGGGATATTTTAATTTAAAAATTAAAAAAATTTTACTAAAAATGATTTGTCACTTTTCTACTAACTCACCCCATATGATTGATTAAGTGTTATATAGTATATATAATTTTAATTTTTTTGACTCCTTTTCTGATAAATATCTCTACTTTAACAATATTACATAAATTAAATATTGAATTTTATTTTTTTTATTTTATTTTTTTTTTGAATTTATATAATCTAAAAGGTTCATTTAGGTATGAAAGTTTGGAAATCCACTCCAGGTTGGCAACCTGTCAGTGAAGAATTAATTAAGGATGGGTTAGAAATGGTATTGGATATTAAGAATTATCCAATTCTTGTCATGTGCACGTATGCCAAATTTCAAACTTATATAAAACTTGATGTTATTGTATTCTAGATAATCTAAATGTATAATTTATATAAAAGTTCAGGCATTCATGAAACTGGAACATTTATTGGATGTCTACGAAGACTACAAAACTGGAACTTTACTTCTATTATGGTTGAGGTAATAAAAGTTCATTTATATCCTTATTATATTAAAAAAATTATAATAACCAAACTAAAATATTCATTATGTATATTATATAGTATCGAAGTTTTGCTGGTAACAAGGCCCGTTATGTTAATGAACAATTTATTGAATTGTTTGATATGGATTTAATTACTTTGCCACAAAATTTGCCTTTGTGGTTTATAGAACAAAAAATGTTATTAGTAAGTAAAGGTTATATTTTATTTGTTATTTTTTATTATATTTCTTCTATTTATATTTTATACTTAATCTAATTGGTTTATATAATGTTTTTTTTTTTAAAAAAAAATAGCAACAAGAAGAAATAGAAGAATTGGATGAAGAACAAAATATATCTTAGACAAGTGTTTTTCTTAAAAAATGAATATTTATGTGTTTTTATATACTGTATTTGAATTTTTGAATAATTAAATGTACTAGAGATAAGTTTTGATATAAAATAAATGAATTTCAATTATTTGTACTTTTGTATATTTTAGTATATAACAAAGAATTAAAATTTAATATATTTTATTCTTGTTGTAAAGTATATAAAAATTTAGGATATTTACAAGCAGCAAAATGTTTATTAAGGTCTCACCTCTAACATTAAAAAAAAAAAAAAAAAAAAAAGTTTATTAATTAAAGTGTTTATATCTTAATAAATAGGAGTTTGAGGCATGGCAGCTTAGTGAAGTGGTCTAGTCGTCACCTTCTCCAAGTGGCAGGTCTAGAGTTCAAATCCCACAGATGACGATTTTGAAAAATAGATTTGTGTTTCGGTAACCTGT